GTTGTATAAGACTGTCTTCTGAGCCGATTAGAAACCATCTTCCTCAGACCAGCTGTCCCACTTGCAAAAGATCATCACAACTAGTCTTGTTGACTATCGTTCTTTGAAGGAAGGACAGGGGAAGGAACTGGGACTTTTACCTAAGCATCCAACCACACTTCCCAAACCGTGGTGGGCACGTGGCCTCGATGATATGCTATGGTATATAGGCTGGGGATGACTAAGGGAGGTGGGCTCCATTTATATGGCTATTGGGAAGCGAACATTCATGCTTGCCTCAAGGTGAAGACATTTGATGTGGCCTTAGGCGGGAGCACCCACACTCATGTAAGTAATCCCTCATTCATGCTCTGTAAGTAATCTCAATAAAGATGAAAAAGGCATGTTTAATCTCTTTAGATTTCATGCCTTCTTTAGTAGTTGAAGCATAATAAATGTTTGCTGACTGAATATGTATTTCACAGGGACAAAATGCAGATTCCTGAAGATACCAACCGGTCCTGAAGTTTCTGTTGTAGGAACAGGTAATGGCAGACTTGAAAGGACACCAAATGAGGGAGCCACAGGCTTGACTGCAGCATAACTTGTGGTTGAAGAAGAAATAGTGTCAGCAACAGACAAAGAAGTGATATTCCTGTTAGCTTCTTGTGGAGGAAATGGAGGAAGAAATGGAAAACCCTGAGAAGTGTAAGGAGGCATCCCACCTGGGTTACTGTACAGGCTGTAGAAAAAGAAGATAAAACCATTAAATCAGATATTAGGAGTAAAATATGTGTAATAATCGTTAGTGTTTCCTAAGGAACAATGGTTAGGCATTTCCACACGTGGAAATCTGTTTTGGCAAATGGTAAGTATTAAAGTAAATTAAATAAATTGATAAAGTTTTAAGTCCCTCAGAAACAAAGTGTGGTTTCTAAGGAAAGAAAGAAGAATGCTCTGGAAGGCAAATAATCCAACTGTTCAGAGTATAAAAGTGAAATAAGCATTTTTCAGGTTTCCATATTCCAATGATAACATTTAGTTTCTTCACAGAAAAGCATTTCTTTAAGGAGAGCATATAAGAAAACGCATTTAAGAAAAGTGGATTTTGCTAAGAGGCTTTCACTGTATAGCAAAATCTAACTAAAAGTCTGGACTAATTTTAAGAAAAATTAAATGTATAGATGAGTCACTAAGAATGTTAAAATATTAAGAATAGATTCACAAATAAACACAAATGTATATTCTAAGGAGTAGCAAAGCATTAATTGCTTGGGACTTAATCAGAAAATAATATAATTAATATTTATTTTGGCAAGTATTTTTCCTCCCTCAAAAGAAAGAAGCTGCTGGGCATGGTGGCACATGTCTTTAGTCCGAGTACTCAGGAGGTTCTCTGTGAGATCAAGGCCAGTCTGGTCCACATAGCAAGTGCCTGGCCAGGTGGGGCTACAGGAGAGTCTGCTTCAAAAAGAACAACAACAACAAAAAAAGTAAGAAGCCAAATTATAGACTATTTCAGTTAGGACATTGAATAAATCATATAAAAGTAGTATCTGAATTAATAGTAAGTGGATAAATAAGTCATTCTCATGTAAAAGAGAAAGGACTTATGGCTATAGTTTGGAGACAATACTAAGCACTACTTACTTAAGTACCTACTTAACTTTACTTTGTATTGGAACATACTCCAAAATACATCAAACTAATTTTATGGGACTACTATAATTTCATTTAATGATAGAAATTAATGCTAGATTTGGAAATTTATTGGAAAAAAACTTTTGTTACAGATTTTGAAATGTTTCCTAGTGACACTTAAAAAAAGTTTGAATGGCAAATAACCAATAGAAAGAAACAAGTCTTTAGAAGAATAAAGAGATATTACCTCTACTCTATAGCAAGCTAAATTACAAAACTGTAATAATTTAAAAAATTAAAGAATACTACTAGCAAATGGCTAAGAAGAGTAAAGGAAATAAAAATAAAATTTGGAAAAAGCTGCAACATTTGTTAAGTAAGAACAGACTAAACAATAAAAAGTGCTGCAATGTTTAGACAAAATTAAGAGTCAGATGCTCATATTCATAATAGGATAAAAACTAATGGATCAAGGATTTAAATTATTTTTTTAAATCTTAATAGAGCTAAAAGAAGTCACTGAAATATTTCAACCCTTACACTAGTAAACAACATCAATATAATAGGTACTTTGTAACACAAACAGAGCTCCAAGATAGAGCATTTCCTAGCATGACCAAGGCCCTGGGCTCTACCCCCAGTAGCATAAACAAAGAAAGATAAATAAAAGTGAAAACACTTGAAACTAACACATTCTGAAGGATAATTTTTCTATACATAAAGAATTCCTGCAAAATGATAAAGGACCAACAATCTAATAACAAAGCAGAGGATGGAATGGTGTATGCAACTTCCAGAAAATAAAAGCATCTTTAAAACATAGGAAAAGATGTTCAACTTGACTGATAGATTAATCCAACCAAAATTATATGACATTATTTTATGCTTACAAAATGGGTAATGATCTCTTTGGACACTATCCTATGCTGGAAAAGGGTGTGAATAGACAGGCATTGTATACATGAGCAGAGACTGGTGCAACTACTTTCAAGGACAATTTTGCATTATTTGTAAAAATAATATTCCTAAAAGAAATGAAAATATAAACATGTATAATAAAAAAATTAGATACTTTTCAGTTACACTATCAGACATATGGAGTTTCATAAGAGCTAGGGGTATAGCTCAGTGGTAAAGCATTTGCCAGTGTAGCATGCACAGGGCCCTGGGTTCTATTCCTATAACCGTCACAGAAAAACAGTACACCTTATTTTGGCTGATGAGTTTTGTTACACCTGCTTCTGACCTACCGATGTTCAAGGGTCCAAAGGCCTCTTTACTTATTAGAAAAGAGCAACAAACAAGGCTCTGAAAAACATATCTTGGACTTTGAGAGGCTGCTGAGAAACAATGCTCTGTACATATTTGGGACTTTTTCCTTACTGGACAGTTCCTAAGGCACTGTCTCCTGAATCTTTCTTAAAATTTAAGACTCTTACAAAAATCTTGAGAATGAGAGACAGGCTCTTCTAAATCACAGGAAGTCTTGTCTCTTTTACATTTAACAGTTCTTTAACTTCTCTTTTTCCTGTTTCATTTTATTACAGCCAGCAAGTCAGGTGATCTTCAACCAACCCTTCCTGGAAATCTCTTTGGATAGGCCATCCAATTCACTTGGTGCTTTTCTTTTCCCACATTACTGAAAGAAACAGTGTTAGTTAACATTCCAAAACTATAAAGCTCCCCTTCCAATAATCATCTCATGTGAACAGAAGTTCACCAGCTCCTGCCAAGCACATCTCTGAGGTCTTTTCTACTTTCATGAGTACTTCCAGTTTGATCCTTGTTTGTCCCAAGCTCATCCCATGTTTTAGATTGGATTATCTGAGGTGGGAGAAGCATAGCAGAATTCCACTTCAGGTGGGGGACAAAAAAGCAGTTTTGGCTACTAAGGATGCATAACTGATTTTCTTTAAAAATTATGGATTAGGGGCTGGAGAGATGTCTCAGAAGTTAAGAGCACTGGCTGCTCTTGCAGAGAACCCAGGTTTGATTCCCAGCACCCACATGGTGGCTAATAACAATCATTAACAACTGTTCCAGGGGATCCAACACCCTCTTCTGACCTCCTCAGGCATTTCAGGACATAGGTGCACTTCCACACTTGCAAGCAATACACTCATACACATAAAAAAAATGAAACTTTAAAAAATTATGAATAAAACTGGCCGTGGTAGGCAGTGCACACCTTTAATCCCAGCACTCAGGAGGCAGAGGCAGGTGGACCTCTGTGACTTCAAAGCTAGCACATGGTCTACATAGTGAGTTCCAGGCCAGCTAGGACTACGGGGAGACCCAGTCTCAAAAAAAACAAAAACAAAAACATAAAAAAGAATAGTGTTTGCTAGGCCTATACCAGCTGCTGAGGAGGCTGAGGCAGGAGAACTATGTGTTTAAGACCAGTACTTTACTGTCTCAAATTGAAAAAGGGGTGGGCATTGGGACATAACTAACTCAGGGTACATCTGCTTAGCATGGCTGAGCTTTTTCCTTAGTGCCACATCCTCTCACCCAAAACTGCATTAGTTACTTTTCTTATTGTTATGACAAAAATACCTGAGAGACAAATGAAAGGATAGGTTAATTCTGGGTTGTTTCAAAGATTCCAGCACATGACAGTGGGATTCCAGCAGCAGAAGTGGCTCTGTCCCAGGTGGCAGCATTGAAGGCAACAGCTTGCTCAGAGCACTCAGGCCAGAACCCCAGACTGGCAAAACTTTCAAAGGCCATCTACTTCCACCAGCCATGCCCTACATCTTACAAAGTTCCACAGCCTTCAAGATAGTGCTGCAGGCTCTGAACTGACCGTTCAAAACATGGGTCTGTGGGTGCCAATTCATATTTAAACCATGAAAACATTAATTTGTTCTCTAATCTGTACTTGGGGCAGAGTTTATCAGAGAGAGCTCATATTTGCTATTCTTCCAATCTAGTCTTTCCCCCCTGTCAGCAGATGCTTTACTTATAAACATCGGCTGGAATACCCAGAAGCAGCCTCTTTATGTGGCTTGGGCTTCCTCATAACATGATGTCTGAGTTCCTGGGGTAGAAAGCCTGTTTCTTGAGAGACCGCTATAAGAAGTCATACTGTTTTCTATGACTTAGCCCTTAAAAGTCACTCAGTGCCACTTCTACATTCTATCGTTGACACCAAAAGCAACACACATACGTACACACACACACACAAACACACACTCCCCACATGCTCTTAAACTCTGCTACCCCAGTGAGAGATGGAGTCTGTTTCTTCTCCCTTTTTAGCTTGTGTAGGGCTTACAATACAGCAGAAAAGAATGAGCAACATCCAGAGCTACATCTAAGTAGACAACACAAGTTCTGTGGCTGGTTTAACTTCTCCTGGGATCCCCACCCTCAGAACCCAACCTGGCACACGCTGTGAAAACTCAGGCCACTTTCAATGGTAACTGATAACTTCCAGTAAGGTCTTAGCTTTTGGCAAAGAAAAAAAAAAAAAAAAAGGCCAGAAAAGAGAATTAAGTGAGTCTTCATTTGATTCAACCAGACTTCATAAAGCCACGCCAACTAATGAAAAAAGTGGAACAAAAATAAGCAGCCACCACTGGTTCCTAACCATATAGATTTATAACGAAAAAAGGCCTCCTGGTATAGGTCTATAATTCTACCTCCTCAGGAGGCCAAAGCAGGAGAATCACAGCCAATGGAAATTTGGTAAACTAATTCTGGAAAAAGAGTAAAAATGAAAATACTTGGCTCAGTAATGAATAATATTTAGAGACCCAGTAAAAATTCCAATGTAAAATTAAATTTGTTACATTTACATTTATGTACAATTATGATATACTTTCACTGAGGAGGGAATTACTTTTGTGACAGAACTGTCATTTATTATAGTAAAAGGTCAATAGATAATATCAAAAAATGAAGTTGAAGAATGGCAGCATGTACCTATTATCATAGAGAAGAAAATGGGTGGACAAACAGCTATAAGAGCAAAGCACTGGTTCTAAAAAGTGTGGATGTATGGGTGAGAAAATATATAGCAATCAGAAGGCTGCTTTGAACATCGTTTTGATTATTTCTGTCCTAGTTTGTTTCTTCATTGCTGTGACACAACACTCTGACCACTATCAACTTGGGGAGGAAAGGGTTTATTTAGCTTACATATCCTGGGTCACAGTTCATCCTGGAGCCCAAGGTAGGAACTCAGTGCAGGAACCTGAAAGCAGGAGCTGAAGCACAGGCCATGGACATCACTGCTTACTGACTTGCTCCCATGGCCCCTGCTCAGCCTGCTTTCTTATGCAACACAGGCCCACCTGCCCAGGGGTGGTACCACCCACAGTGAGCTGGGCCCTCCCACATCTCTCAACAATCAAGAAGGTGCCCCATGGACATGGCCACAGGCCAATTCAATGAAGGCAATTCTCCAATTGAGGCTCCCTCAACCCAGGTGTGTCAAGTTGACACAAGCTATCCAGTACAGTTTTGAACTATATTTTGATTATGACAAATAAAGTATGTCCAAAGGTTATATATTATAAATATACTTACTATGGAAATGCTGTTGAAGTAGGAGCTAAAACTGGAGGATTCTTCCAGAACTCATCCAAAAGACTCTGAATGATTTTTCCAAGATCTGAGTGCATTGTAAACTGAAAGTAACAGCAATACCTAATCATAAAAAAAATCTCCCAAAAGGATTATAAAATCTCACAGGGATAATGTCATCCTAAATCTTAACTAATGTATGTAGACAAGAATAAAAAGCAAAGATCTATAACTTACAACATTTTCTTATAAAATCAATACTGTAAATATTTGGTAATTAGACAATAAGGTTAGAGGTCCATTCTATCAATAATGGAGCTAAAATATTTCCATATTTCACAATTTAAAATAATTTGATGGTTCAAAGGTAAACATTAAGGGTATATTTAAATTGTAGTCCTTCATGTTAATCAACCTCATTGTATCCAAGACCTTCAAGACATAGTCGTAAGTAAACACAGTATTACCCATTATATGCAACGAAACTTTTTTGAAAATTAGTAATTCCAAAATGAAAATTTAAATAAACTTCAAATTTCAAAATACTTAGTAAAAATATAATGAACTTTTATATTACTATTAAATAAAGCGTATGTATACATACATTGCTTACTAATGGAGAGGTAACATAAATCCCTTGCTTATCCATCAAGTGATGTCTTATTGGTGGATAAACACTGATCACTGGTTTTTCCTGAGGAAATTGTGGAGGAAGTAATCTAGCAAAGGAATAACAGGAAAAACATACGAACAACAACAACAAAGACAACAAATATTACATCATGCAGCCATAATCTGAAAACAAAATTGCATAAAAGAAAATTATATTTTCACCTTTTATATAGATGAATCCTTTAGTAATATGTGTTTTCTTATACGGATTGAGCAAACTAAAAATATATAAAAGGCTAGAATTTGGGAATAAGACTATATAGTAATTCTACACAGTGGATCTTTTTAATGTGGAGTGTGAACACCATGAATTAAAGAATGGTCTTTGTACCATTTCAGTTAATTGCTTTCAAAGATAAGACTACTAAGAGGTCTAAAAATCTCAGCTAAATACTAGATCAAGCATTATTTATCAGGCAACTCATGCAAACCTCATCTGGGTATTTACTAGATGAGAGGCCTTGGCCATATATCTGTGTGTGTGTGCACGTAAGTGTGGATGTGCGTGTGTGTATGTGACATGTGTCAGTTGTAAAATGCTGCCAAGAATTATCTCAGCATGTATACTGCTACAAAAGAGCAAGTAGCAAGTGGCTGAGCTGGTGAGCACTGGGACTGAAGTGTTGTAGCTGTCATCACACCTTCACTGTGTCTAACTTCTAAATGCCTCAGTTAAAACCTCTCTCCCATATCTAAATTTGATAAAAATATATTGTAAAAATCCATAAAAATTAAATTAAAATCCCTCTCATTTTGAAGTCAAATCATGTGATATGATGTAAAAATACATTTCCACTTCAAAAAAGTAAAATGTTTAACCTTTTTTAAGCACTACAAAATTAAGATTAGTGGGCAAAATCTTTATCAAAAAGTAGAACCTGGTTTTTCAAATTTCAAAAACTCAGAATATTTCCCTTTAAACTGCCTTTCTGTTCCTCTGTCGGCTAAAGAAACTATTTGTTGGCAGCACTGTCAAGAAAACTGGGACTTTGTTGAGTTCTCCTACCTAGTTCTACCTGGGCGTGGGATGAGAAATAAAACAATTTCAACTATATAGCTAAAGATTTTTAAACTAGTTTGGTAAAAGAGGCAATAAATGGCCTTTGGTGCCAAACAACTTGAGTTCATGTCCAGTCATCCATTTACATGTGCCTGTTATTTGTCCTAATTTGTAAGGCTGCTAGGTGCATTCAAAGATCTCATAATAGCTTCATGCTTGCCAAAGTTATGTATTCATGTTTAGATTTGTTCAGAGAACTAGTATTTAATAATAAGCAAAGAGTATGCTAGCAATGAGACATCAAAGCTTTTATTTCACTATATTGCACACTATTTTAGAAGATGCAGTTACTTTAAATACATTCCTTTAAGCAGCTTCTGATATTAACTAAAAGATAAAACAAATAAAACTTAAATCGCATTACATAAAATATATGTTACAATTCTATTCTCACCTTAATGTTATTGTTGGGTTGTTCAGAAATAAAGCAAAAAAATCAAACCTATTACATGAAAAAAATAGTAAACAATTCTACTCACATATTAATGTTAATTGTCAGGTTGTTCACTGTGAATGGCAACCTGTATTCCACATCTTTTTGTATTTCAGCTATACTGTAAAAATAAATAAATAAATAAATAAATAAATAAATAAATAAATA